ACACAGAAACACATAACCCAATAACAAAATAGCACCATACGCGACGTTGCCGTCATTTCCAATTTCATGGCTTGTTAACTATAGGAGGCTGTGTAAGTCCTCATAATCGCGAATTGCAAACTTTTTGTCTGCGGAATTGTTCCTATTGGTCCAAATTATAATGGCGGGAAAATCTCGCGAATGTTTTCAACTTCTTGCGGCATCGCAAAAAAGTTAAAATAATTTACCTTTTTGGCGAATAAACTAGCATAACCTCACTTCTTCCCAGATTATTCGCCAAAAAGTTAAATTAATTTATTTTTTTTAAATAAAAATAAAAAATATCAAAACAAAAATAATCTTTTTAAATATTACTTACAATAATAAAATGATGTAAATTTTTACGTCCTTAAGTCTAGCTAGGTTGGCGATGTTCGTCCTTTCCAGTCGTTACAGGTTTGGCGATTTTTGTCCTAGCTGTAATTTGATGTTAGTCACAACCCCTTGATATGCCCTCAGTTGATTGTGCCAGGTGACTGCTGTATTTTTCTTGCTTTTTTTTTCTTCAATTGTACTTAAGATATCTTTTTAGTGGTTACCTTAGATCGGTGCTTTCTACCATTAACTAGGGATGTTGATATCGAAAAAAAATATCGATATATATCATATCGATAATTAAAATTATTATTGTATCGAGCATTTAATATATCGTTGAAAAATATCGATATATCGACAAAAAAATTAAATACTCAATTATTAAGGGTCGGTTTCTCAATAGTGAGTCACTTTCGGATTGGTTTTAACTCCAAGGTAAGCGTATCCAGTTGCTAGGTTAACCCTGGAGTTATGCTTAGCCAGGAGGTGACTTGCTATTGGGAAACCGGTCCTAAGTAAAAGTATTATTGTCTGTACCTGTACCAGTTACACCGTAAAAGGGTTTTTTTTACAAGCAAGTTATGAATAAACAAAATATTATTAATTATTACGAAATATTTTCCATTTTCATTTGTTCTGAAAGTCATTGCTTGTCTACAACTGTCACTAGGCCACTATAGAAAGTTTTTTTTTAAATATTTCTATGATATCGCTCTACTTGCTCTGGATCGCTCGAGATGAAACCTCTTAATCGAAATTATTGCCTTGAAAAGTTCTTAGAGCGTAAAGCAGTGATTTTTTTTTGGATCGTGCTCGATAAATATATCGAGTACCGATAGTCAACTTTTAATATCGATATACCGATATATCGAAACAAAAAATATCGGTCGATTTTATCGATATATCGGAAGAAAAATATCATCCATTTGATATATCGATATTTTTTCAACATCCCTACCATTAACTCGAATCTTTTTTGGAAATTGTAGGTTTTCTTGATTTTTGTAGGTTTCTTGAATAAATCCTTAGGAAGGAACCGTTTTTCTTACGTTCCAAGATCCACTAAGACTGCGCCAGTTAGGTTTCCTTCGGGCCGAAGGAAATGACTTTGAAACATTTTATTTTTTAAATTGGGAGATAACAAATTTATTCAATACAAGGAAGTGAAAGATAAAAGCTTGAATTCTAAACACAGAGTAACCACAATTTAATTATCTTATGCACAATTATTTATAAATTTAGCTTATCTCCAAATGACGTGCATGAGAGGTTCTGCTGGGTCGGCAAATATGATGCAAGTGGCAGCTTCTGCTGAATCGACAAATAGTGCAAAAATACAGGATGTCACTTAGTGCAAATAAACAGGATGTAACTGGCTTTCATAATATCCACAAGGGAAAAAAATTCATCGGTAGGAAATTTTTTATCAGTAAAAATTCAAGGTGTGTCTGTCTGGACACGAAATCAATATTACACAAAACAGTCAATATATATATATTTTTTTTCAAACAAATTAAAGATGTGTCCCTCTGATTTTTGTTTTGAAATGATAGTAGAGTTAAGACCCTGAAATAATCCTTCTAGAAAAGATTTTCGTCCGCACTTTATTGCTAAAATGTAGAACCTATTTTATATCGTCCCTCACGCCTTAAAAAAGCAAAATCGATTGGTCGTCAAAAAATCGTGGGGTGCAGAGGGTAGTTTTCCAAAAAATTGCAAAAAAATTTTTTTGCATAATTTAAATCTACACTACGTGTTCAATGATTTGCAAAAGTTTTGTTTGGAAATTCCGAGAATGACGAAAAATCATGTTTTGATTGAAGCTGTTCATTTATAATAGAGCGCAAACGAAAAGCGACCATCTAGGTCTGAAAATACATACGGACCGTGCACCACACAGAATCAATGCGTGCCAAGGGAATTTCAACCAATCTCGCATCTCCGCGTTCGAGCGCGGTCGCCACCACATGCTTTTACATTTCACAGATTTTTGACAAAACGACTTATCGGATTTTTGATTATAAAAAAGCATTTTAATCGCTGATCTTTCATCTACAGCGTTTATAGAAAGAGTTTTTTTGATTAGGATAAGCATTTTTGAGTTTTCTATGTGTGAATGATGTTGCAATTTTGATGTTTCAGTGCTAGCTGTTTTATATTGAGGAGCTCCATATGAAAGCGTGTTGCACAAACATTTTAAAATTCGAAATAAATACTTCTCGAAATTTCCAAATAAAACTTTTGCAAATCATTGAACACGTAGTGTAGATTTGAATTAAACAAAAAAATTTTTTTGCAATTTTTTGGAAAACTATCCCCTGCACCCCACGATTTTTTAACGACCAATTGATTTTGCTTTCTTAAGGCGTAAGGAACGATACAGGGTGTTAATTTGAAAACTTCCCACCCCTATTATCTCGGAGCAAAAAAATTTTCGACAAAATCCCTGAAACACGTTAACTATAATTTGAAGGGGGATGAGTTTTTATGCGAAATTTACCTTCTCTCTTTCCACCCCCCAGCCCCCAGAGCCACCCCCTAGAAAATTTTAAATGGGAAGGGGGGTCGAGTGATACATCATTTTCTAGGGTTTTCAATTCCATAAATTTTGGTGCTAAATTTTAGTCCCTAAGTTCAACTGTTTTGGAAATATTGACAGTTGAAAATTGACTTTTTTGCTACTTTGACAGGCTGCAAAACCTAAACGGTTAATTTTAGAGGAAAACCCATCTTACATTCTTGTCTTAGATTTTCATAAACTATCATTTGACACCATTTTTGAATTTAACCGGAGATTAAATTTTCAATCGGAATTTTTGATCGTGGATTAAATTCGAAGTTGCTGTCAAATGATAGTTTATAAAAATCCAAGACAAGAATGTGACATCGGCTTTTCTCTAAAATTAACCGTTTAGGTTTTACAGCCTGTCAAAGTTGTAAAAAAGTCAATTTTCAACTGTCAATATTTCCAAAACAGTTGAACTTAGGGATTAAAATTTTGGTACCAAAATGTATGGAATCAAAAACTCTCCAAAATGATGTATCACTCGACCCCCCTTCCCATTTAAAATTTTCTAGGGGTGGCTCTGGGGGCTGGGGGGTTGAAAGGGGGGAGGTAAATTTTGCATAAAAACTGATCCCCTCTGAAATTAAATTCGACGTGTTTCAGGGATTGTTTCGAAAATTTTTCTACTCCGAGATAATAGGGGTGGGAAGTTTTCAAATTGACACCCTGTATAAGATTTTACATTTTTGATTTTAGCAATAGAGTTCCGACGGAATGACACGATAAAATCATTTTTAATCTCCACTATGAGGGTATAAGTGTAGGTTTTCATAATATCCCGAGTAATATCTACAAGGGAAAATTTTTTCATCGGTAGGAAGTTTTTTATCAGTGAAAATTCAAAAAGGTCTTAAACACGAAATCTTCATGACAGAATTTATATATATTTTTTTTTTCGAAAAATAGAATATGTGCCACTCCAATTTTGTGTTAAAATGAAGGCATAAGGGTAAGCATCCATAATATCTACAAGGAAAAAAAAAATATCGGTAGTAAATGTTTTTTCAGTGGAAGTTCAAGAAGGTTTTTTTTTTAAATAGAAGGTGTCACTCTCATTTTCGTTTTAAAATGAAGATATAAGAGTAGGCTTTCATAATATCCCCAAGAGAAACATTTTTCATCGGTAGGAAATTTTTTATCAGTGAAAATTCAAGAAGGTGTTTCAAAGCACGAAATCAACTTGACACAAAATATTTCTTTTTTCGAAAAAGAGAAGATGTGTCACTTTAATTTTTTTTTAATGAAGGTATAAGGGTAGGCTTTCATAATATTCACAAGGAAAAAAAAAATCATTGGGAGGAAATTTTTTATCAGTGAAAATTGAAGGTGTTTTCAAACAACAAAATCGATAGACCTTTACGGAAACGCTGATCCGATTAACCCGATCACAGCTAATATATTTTGTATTTTTTCAATCGTGTTCATTAAAGAAAGATGAAAAACAGACAGCTGGTGATCGGGTAGATCGGATCAGTATTTCTGTAAAGGCCTACTGTTCACTGATAAAAAAATTTCCTACCGTTGAAAAATGTTTTTCTTATAGGAAAGAAAAAATTAGAGTCACACATTTTTATTATAAACGGATACAATACAAAATACAAAAAAAATTGGCGTGAGAAAACTAATGGAACCTGTTCTTATAGCTTTGTTTAAAAAAAAAAATCGAACAAGAAAAGTCTCATCATTGCCCTTGTCCAAAAATTGACCTTCAACTACCGTTGGCGGTAATGCGCTTTTCCTGAAAAATCGTTGCTGAGAATCGGGTGCTAACTCACACGCGTAAATAATAGGATTATGATAAACTTTGCTTATGATAACTAAAATATGATTCCTAAAGAAAAACATAAAGTCTCCTTCCTCCACAAATACTACTAAAATATGAAATACAAAATTTTGATTTTAATCTATGTGAATATCTAACAAATACTGCATCTATTGTGCTTCGTGATTTCGTGGTGGTGGATATATTAAGCGATCCTTGTTATATAGCAACTCGTACTTGAACTCGCATCAAACTAACTTACCCCACCATGCGTAAAGAATTTTCCCTTCAAAAAGTGATATTTTCGTTTTGTTTTAGTTATTCATCAATTACTGAGCATCGGTAGCTCTTTTGTTAGTATGGCCTGGTCCATGGCCTCTTACCAAAGACTGTTACGCGTCTCTCTAAAAACAAAACACAACATTTCGTGGCCTGCTACGATAGTGCAGTTTATGTGGCACTTTTTAGTGACAGGTTCGTTCTTGTGTACAAATTTAGAAACCCCTCTAACTTTTTTTGATTTTAGTATCCAGGATTTTGTGTATCAGCGTTATAGCTTCCATTCATCCAGTTCATACTGTGCTGGTGCTGGTTTTTCATTGGTTTGTTATGACCATATGGCTGTCTGCTACCAGCTCTGAGAATAATTTCTGCGATCATCATAGGTTGTATGATTTTTTGTTCTATTCGATCTTTGGTGCTGTTTATATTTTTACACAGGTGAGCAAACTTTTTTGCGCATGGATTTAAAGCTATATAAAAACTACAAAAAAAATAACATAACATAACAAGCACAATCTTCAGAAGATTAGGGTGAACTGTAATAGTTTTTTACCTCACAAGTGCGGAAAATGAATCTTTGCGCACGAGTCTGCCGTCGGTGAACCAGCCGAGTGCAGAAAAAACATTTTCCGCAAGTGTTAGGTACAATAGTTTTTCTACAGACGTGCGGAAATAAGTAGGTATGCCTATATAATCTGTAGTGAAATTTGAAATTCTTTTTTCTACAGCCGTGCGGAAAAATTTTCCAAATGGATTTTTCCGCACGGCTGTAGAAAAATATTGTTACCAAATATTATTTGATGTCTTATCTGACACAAGTCTACGCTGATAAAAAGCTTTAATATATAAACAATAGACAGCGTTTCAGTTGTTAGTTATTTATTTATTCAAAGTTGTACAATGACAGGTGATGTTCCTACGCTAACAAGTACAGTAATAGTTGCTATTAAAGATAAGTACTAAAATAGACCGGGAGATAGTGACAGATTTTCGGACGTGATTTTACCCAATATGCCTTTTGGAGGGTATTATTGTAGACATATTCTGTTAGTAATAAATCATAAAGTAAACAGTCATCTCGGGTTCTTCATATATTAACAATAATCAACAATCGTTTGCAAATTAAGCGTCTCGATACAATTTTACCCAGGCTGCCATGAATGCACAATAAAATTCTTTTATACTTTTCCGTCCCGGCACATAGAACCAACTAAGGCCAGAATAGCTTTATATCCAGGTCGTGCAGACTGGCAAACGAGTGTTCCTGGCTTGATTTCTTTTCAAGTAACTCGGCGTTTATTAAGCAGTTGAGTGCCTTAGCTTGAAATCTCTATACCTCAAACCTCAAAATGATATAAATTAAAATTAAAATAGTGGAGCTGTTATGCTATTTTTTGTTTGCCTCAAAAATAATTATTAATAAAACGTGTTTATTCTGTGTATAAAATGTTATATGTATTACATTACCTTATGAAATTGGGCCATGCCCGTAAATAAATAAATAAATAAATAAATAAAATTCATGTAGAATGCGACAATTGAAAAATTAAAGGCATACCGTATTGGGAAATGGACTCAGAAATCAAAGAGCTTGTTAATTATCGATATTCAATATATTTATTATATCGAACACAGCGTGGAAAGCAGAGCGTGTGAACTCATAGAAATAACTATACGAACTGACTCAACATCAAGACAAAGAATTACAAACCCTTTCTTAAGTAAACGATTCCTCATCTGTTTACCTTACATATAAAAACTATTATAAACACATTCAGCCATCCATAGCTGCGATATAAATTAGCAAAGTATAGGCTAATAATCAAAGTTTAATTTATTAATTTTTGTTTCACTGATATAAATATCAGTTTATCCAACACGCCACCTCAAAAATTTGATCAATTATAATAAAAGTGTAATACAACTTAAACCTAGTATAACATAAATAAGCCTGCTTTCCTTATGTGTGTCTTTTCTGGGGAAAATTACAATAACGGTCCAGCATTTGCTGCTCGGGATTAGGGAAAACCCAGAAAAATCTAATCAAACCATTTAACTTATTAACTAAGCCTAATTCCATTCGAATTTCTCAAATTTCACTCGCATCAATGGTTTGGTAAACATGTCTGCTAGTGGTTTCTCTGTGGACAAATTAATATTTTATATTAATTACGATCAATTCAATATGATTTGATCTTTTGTGATTTGTTGGATTATTTGTAATACTTATTGAGGTCCATTGTTGTCCTCCTAGGTCATAATTGACTCTGATATTAATATTTATGCATATTTTCTGCTAATGATTTTAACCAAAGAGCTTCTGTGACAGCTTTAAAAAGAAAACCATATATTCGGCTTCAGTAGATGATGCCGCTACTCGCAACTGCCTTTTTGTATTCCAACATATCACACAAATTTCAAACAGTTTAAATAAATATCCTGTTGTGCCTTTTATATTGTTTATATCATGCATCTCCACCTTCTTAGTCAGGATTAATAGAATCACTCAAGAAATTGATATATTCACAACTAAAATATTGTGTCAACTTCACATTGATTTTACCCTTAAAATATCTAAGGACCCTTTTCAAATATTGCCAAAACTCTTTATTATTCTTGTTTTAATACCTGCTCAAAATATTAACAGTGGTACTTAAATCAGGCTTGATATACATAACATAATATACATTAAACAGACGATTAGATTCCGGCAAGGGCTATCATGTTTTACTTCTGAATTTAAACCAATCAAATTCAGTTTACTAGGAAGTGGAGTGCTGACACAGCTGATGGCACAACAGTCATTCATATTAAATTTATGTAAAATAGTTTTCATGTATATTTGAACTGTACCTATATGAAAATTGATCAAGAGTAATTTTATTTTTGATTACCTTTCAATTTTATTACCCAAAAATAGTTTACTGTCTTTCAAATAAAACATAGAACAGTTATTTGCCAAATACCTTTTGAAACTATTAAATGTATTATTATCTGCAGTGGCAAATACCATCTACAAAACTACATAAATAATTTTACATATTGCACCTTTGTCTAAGATATAAATACAGTGGTTAACTGATGAATTTTCAAACCCATTTTCTTTATGAACTTTTACTATTATTTCAAACTAACATCTAGTGGTTTGTTTTAGTTCATAGATACAAAGCCTTGCAAACTTGGTTAGGAGGTTTACTTGTCACACCTTGAGCCAGCCACCCTTTAGCCTTCAAGAACCTTCATAAAAATGGCTTCCTTCAATGTCCCATCCGGGAAAGCTGTTTTTACATCCATATGATGTAATAAAAGGTAAACTGATTAAAACGGTTATTAAAAACCAGAAACCTACGATTCTCGCCACCTGTGCAAAGGTTTCATTATAATCTACCAAGTAATGTTGACTAAAAGCAAGAGCAACTAAGTAAGCTTTGTATCTAAATGGTTTTCCAATTTCATCATTTTCAATGGAAAATGTCCATTTACAAACCACTATATTTTTATATTCGGGTCTTGATACTAACGACCACGTTTTATTTACCAATAATGAGTGAATCAATATCATTTGGCAGATCTGTTTTAATTACAGATTTACTATACTCATTATTTAGTTTAATGAGTTTTAGACCAGGGCAGTTAGCTGAAAAATGGCCTTTAGGAGAAGTTTTTGCAATCAAGCTGATTTTTCCACAGATGATAGTACCCATCAATAGTACTCTGCAGAAAAAAGTTACACCTCCTAGGAGGCTTGCTTTTTCCGCCATGATGAATTAAAGATGGCGGCTGGTGCTATTCTTGAAAAAAATCGTAACTATCTTATTTATTAACCGATTTTCGTCAAGTAAAAAAAAAAAACCTTTGTTTTGGACTAAAGAATGAAATAAAAATTTGAAACCATTTTGACAGGTAGTATTTCTGTCAAAAAAAAAATATAGGAAAATAAATTGAATTGGTTTGCTTCAATTTTCTTTGAACCATAGCTGTAAACTTAGACCGTAGGTACTTCTTATCAAAAGAAGCTTAAAAATATGCGCTTTTTTTTCTAATTTTGAAACAGTTTTTGAGTTTGTGATAGGTTAAGTAATTCGCGAGATATAGTCGAAAAGAACTTGAGAATCCAAAAAAAAAACTTATGCAGGATGTGAACACTCTATTTTTTGTATATACGCGCCTAAAAATAGCTATTTTTTGAACTGATTTCAGTCCGTAAATCTTCATTTTCGGCCTACACCGTAAAATGCTCCATTTTCGGCCTACACCGTAGAATGCTCCATTTTCGGCCTAGTTCCTAAAAGTCGTCATAGCAACCTTGTCAGTTTGCATGACACTGTCGCACCTGCATAATCAGTTTAAAATTTTTAATGTTGTCACATTCACTTCACATCTTTGAGCTATTACAAAAAAGTATTGTTTGTTTCACGTACCTAAAATATAGGTTTGTTAGGGACCTACTTGTTACAAAAAATACATATCTTAGCTCGATTGACATAAAAACAGTTGCCTTTGGTTTTAGTTGAATTTTTTTTTTCTACTACCGCGCGTGAAGTACTTACTTTACGCACTGTTCAAAAGACGTGAAATAGTTATTTACCTAACAAATGCCGTTAAGGGCGGTAAAGGCACTTTCCGCAAGTCTTAGGTACAAAATTTTACCTATAAGCATCTACATCTCCAAAAAAAGCATTTATAAAATTAATTAATGAATCAGATTAATTAATGGAATAGAATTAAATTTAGAAAGGATCAAAAATCCATTTTCTGAAAAAGAAAGGAATTTTGATTATAAATATCAAATTCTACTTTACCGCACACTATGCGGTAAAGTGGACTACAAAGTGTTCGGTAAAAAAAAAAGTTAACTTTACCGCACACTATGCTGTAAAGTTAACTTTACCGCATAGTGTGCGGTAAAGTGATACTTTCCATTTTCAGAAACCTCGTAGGTAATAGTTATTTACCTAACAAATGCGGTAAAGGCACTTTCCGCATGTGTTAGGTACAAAATTTTACCTATGAGCATCTACATCTCCAAAAAAAGGCATTTATAAAATTAATTATTGATTCAGATTAATTAATGAAATTAGATAAGATTAAGAAATGATCAAAAATCTATTTTCTGAAAAAGAGAGGATTTTTTATTATAAATATCAAATTCTACTTTACCGCACACTATGCGGTAAAGTGCACTTTACCGCACACTTTGATTCTACTTTACCGCATACTTTGCTGTAAAGTTAACTTTACCGCACACTATGCGGTAAAGTGCACTTTACCGCACACTTTGATTCTACTTTACCGCATACTTTGCTGTAAAGTTAACTTTACCGCACACTATGCGGTAAAGTGCACTTTACCGCATAGTGTGCGGTGAAGTGATACTTTCCATTTGCAAATACGTGCGGTAAAGTTCACTTTACCGCACGCCGGGTGTACGTCATACC